ACCAATGCAATATAATGTGACATGTCCAAACTTGTATGCTCAAGGTTACGGTCGATCATCACATTATCCTCGAACAAAATTGCTACAAACGGTCGACCCCCACGATTGTACCCCTGGTCACGGTCAACCATTCTTATTAGCCTCCGAAGAACCTTTACAAGTAGTCTAGATCCTGGATCATCCCTCACCCACAGTCGACTGCCCATCAACTAGTAGCAAAAACCCTCCCCTCTACCCGCTGGCCACATCACTCACCCTCCTTAAACTACACATTCTCATCCAGCACCACCCTCTAATGCTCACCAAATGTAAACCTAGCTGTGTCAAATTCAATATTTTAAAACCAAAAACCTATATTGTCACCACTCTTGATAATACATCTCCTACCACCAAACTAAGCACTTATAATCAAGCATCCCGAAGTACTTTTGGTGTCGGGCTAAGGATGATGAATTTATAGCTTTGAATGAACAATGAACCTGGCATTTGGTACAATCGCCAAAACATCGCTCTCTGATTGGTTGTAACTGGGTGTTTCGCATTAAGCGGAATGTTGATGGATCTGTCTCAAGGTATAAGGCTCGTCTTGTGGCAGAAAGATATCATCAGGAGCATGACCATTATTATAAGAGAGAATCTTAATCATAGTAGAATAATAATTATTGAAGCAATAATAGAAGGAAAGTAATAAATAATACAATAATATCTTGTTTCCTATTATCCACAACAAGCTAATTATCGATATCGAAAGCAACTTGGAGCATATGTACCGAAACGTACGTAGTAAAGATAGCTTCTAGCTAGAATAGAGAGGGAGGTATTTGTTGCATGATGAACAAGTATGAGAGTGCGGTTATTGAGTTTTATCCAAGAGAGTAGTTGTCGATTAGAGTGAGCTGAGGTCGAATAGTTCCTTTTTCTCCTTGTGGGCCAATCTTTGCTTCTTTAGCGCTTTTCATGCTCTCAAATTCTACAAGAATTGAAACACATATAAATGAAGCTCTCTAGTTTTCTATCACTCACACAATTTTTTTTGAAGAGAGAGAGAGAGATAAGGGATGCCAGTTGTTATGCAAGCTCATAATCTCTTAGAGGGAAAGAGAGGGATAAAGAATGGCATGACCATGATTTGTGGTGGTCGACCTTCAATGATGAAGTCCGACAGTGGTGCATGGTGGAAAGAAAAGAGCTGGTTTTTTAGAGAGAGATCTTAGCTCTGATACAATGATAAAATCAATAGAATAAGGAAAGTGATAAATAACACTCTCTCCGTCTGGCATAGAGCTTTCCATTACGCGTTACGAGACTTGACAAATTTTATTTTCAATTCAATTTATTTGATTATTGCGGTAAAAATTTTAAAAAAATTATAGAATAAAAACTACATGAAATGCTTTATAAAATAAGCTAAGAAGTGACAAGACTACATTATTTTATGAAATGACTATTAAAAATAAGCAAACAAAGTGAGTTAAATTTAACCCGATGATTAGTGTTTGAGAAGATCTATGACAGAGAGAGGAAGAGATTTCTTGTTTCATAGGGAGTATTATTTACATGTATATTTTTAAGTATTTATTCTTACACACACACATAAGGCTTGATATATACTCGTATATCCTCACTTCATCAGCCCACCGGAGATGATTACTGACTTAACGCCGCCGGCGGTTACTTTCAGGGTTACCGCCTGAGGGAACTTCATGAAAATGGAATCTTTTGGTGGGTTGTTTCGAGGGAGAAATGCGACGAGGACGAAATTCATCAGGGTCTGTTTTTCCTGGAGCCAACGCCGTCGTCATTTTTGTGTTGAGGGGATGGGGAGAAGAGGATGAGATGGAAATGAGGAGTAGGCCAAGCAAGATGGCCGCCGCCGCCGCTAGGGGTTGGGGTTTCATCAGTGAAAGCGCCGCCGCGGCCATGTGGATGGAACTGAAGTGTGGCTATTACAAGGAGTTGCTTATGATTAAATAGTGTTTGTTTGTGGGTGTGTTATAAGAGAAAAGTGCATGTTTCTTGTGATCTTGGGGCGAAAGTTTGATTGAAATTTATAGTGGAGTCATGGGAATATAATTGAGAAATCTACACATTTGTGGAGCACTAGATGATCACAATTCACAAAGTTTCAAAGTCTCTTGAGATCACACAAAGTCTTGCGTAAGATATGGAAAAAGAAAAAATTCTCAATCTAGCTACCACCTTTATGAATGTTTGTGAGCCCATATCGGGCGCTGCGTAGTAGGCAAGAAAAGAGTGTCAAAAGTAATACCTGAGTTTAATTTTTAATTGAGAAATTTACCTAAATAGAACTAAAACATAGTGACTTTACCAACATAGGACCAAGAATAGAACTTTCACACTGCCGATGCAGGTATTATATTCGATTCAAGGACTTTGGATTTGACATCTTCTCTTTCGACCAACCAAGCTACCCATGCGATCGAGCTTGATCAAAGAATATAAAAATGCATGGGTGAAGAGAAAACAATTGAAATTATTTCTTTAGCTTTTCAAATGTTTGAAATTACTTTATCTTCTTTTACAAAAAAATGTGATTTTAATTTACATACATTACCACATTTTCTTTCCTCTAAGTTCTTACTTTTCTCTCTAACCAAACAAATGAAACAAAAAAAAATATCCCACTTCAATTCTTTCCTTCTCATTTTCTCTTTATTATTTTCTATTTATTCAAACAATGTATTTTTTTTTCTCTTTATTTTTTTTTTCTTTCTATTTTTTTCTCCTCAAGTCCTCTCATAAAAAAGGGTGAGTTTTTAAATTTTTAGGTTTGTGAGTTGTGTTTCTAGATTTTAATTAATTAATTAGTTACCTATATATATATATGTCGGTCATATTCGAAAGATCCTCGTCATCTACAAAATTTATTGGGTTGTGCTACTCTCACCCCTCTTTATATTCATTTTGTACCCTAAATTAAAGATTTACTCTGACATAAATTGCAAGTGTAAAACTAACATAATACCAATTTTGCACTTACATTTAATGTCAGAGAAAATTTTTGGGATACAAATGTGAGGTACAAATGTAGGGTACAAATAAGACTCGTAAAAATAAGGCGTTGTAATTGACCAGTTGTATAGTATGACTCTAGCTAACAAACTTTGATCCAACCATTTACTCTGATTCTCTCTTTTTTAAAAAAGAAATCTAATTAGGGATGCTAGTTTCTATGGATTTGTTTTATATTTTAAAGCAATGATGAAATTCTATATATTCATGTTTTATTGGTGATATTTGTGTCAACAACTATTTTGTATAATATGATATAATTTGGTAATAACTAATCTTATTAAATAATAATAATTGTTTCATCCATATGGGAAGGAATGGAATAAGAAAAGTAAATAATAATATCTTGTTTTCTAATATTCCTATGTTAGATGAGTATCTTAATAAATATATTTATGGCAGACATTGTTAATAAGCTCAAAAATGAGGTGTTTATACTCGTTTAATGATATATCAAATTTTATAAGGGAATCCAATAGTTAGAGTCTCGATGGGGTAGAATTTTACTCTTAGGCACCTTGCTTTAAGTAATTCTATTAATTTGTAAAATTAAACTCGAGGTGAAGTAAAACGCACAACTATAAGTAAAGGATAACTTATTTGGGATCATATTGCGAATTAAAATAGAATTACTTTTTGGTAGACCGTTAAAAAAAATAAGATTATTGGAAAATTTAAATTTAATGAAATAAAGTTGCTCCAATTTTTTTTAAAAAATAAGGTTGAAAACACGAACGTGACTCTAGACTTAAAATATTGTTTAAAAAAAGACTTCTACAAGACAATTTTGAAATTGAATGCGGCCTTCCAAGATCAAGACAAATTGGAAATTAAGTTAAACTTTTACTCCGTACTTCAGTAAATTTTCGACTTTACTATTCACAAAAATGAGCTGTAATTGGAAGTCTATAAAATGCACTACCTTCTAAATAAACCCTTCTCATCTTTTATAAATAGAAAATTCTAGTCACATCTTCAAAAATTTTTGTTATTAAAAGAACACTCCGTACAAGACTCTTAAGGACATCATTATAACTTAATTGTCTCAATAGGATGTTGATTTGAGAAAACTGCACCGATTGCCTCCGAACTCTTTAAAAATTGAAAGATTTATCACTGATCGTTATAAAATGCACCAAATACCCCTGAACAATTTAAAAAATTGCACGGTTGGTCCCTTTAATATATACAGAAAAAAGTAATATGAAAAACTAATTGTAAAGACTAAAATGCCCCCTGCATATTCTCCATACAACCACACGAAACCTGTGGAGTTCTCAGGCGATAGCTCGACGCACGGGGTAATTTGTTTTGGTTTTTTTATTTTATGATTTATTAAGCATTTAGATTAGAAATATTAGTTGAATTTTCCCAGCAATTACTTCAAATGCATGCAAAATGGTTGAGTTCGTACCGTTTCTTGATTGAATGACCGAACCGTAGGGGTATTTTAGTCTTTACAATTAATTTTTAATAGTATTTTTTCCTGTATCTATTAAAGGGACCAACCGTGTAACTTTTAAATTATTCAGAAGTATTTGTTGTACTTTTTAATGTTCAGAGATAAACGATGCAATTTTCAAAGAATTCGAGAGCATTGGTGCTCTTTTCTCGATTGAGCTAAAATATTTAGTATGGAGTGTAATTTTTCAAAAATAATTACGTAGGTGATACGAGATCGTATCGGGATAGAGAAGGATTTCGAGCACCTTCGAGCTCCAAGAATAAAAGATACGAGAAAGAGAGAAAGATTAGGATTTAGGAGAAATATTTCTTTATTGATTGATTGAATGATAATGATACGGGATTACAATGTATAACGCTGAGACGTCACACATACTTGACCTAATGGGCTCGGGCCCATAGAAAATTCCTAATCTATAAAATACTAATAAATAATAATAAAGAACTACTAAATAATAATATAACTAATTAAAATATTCTAATCAACTATCCGTATCATTCACACCCCTTTAAAATCCACCTTGTCCTCAAGGTGGAGGCTCCCACTCGTGTTTCTGGACTGGAGAGATAATGCTAAACCAAAGGAGCAATCCATTCTTTGAATCTTCAAAAATCCTAACTCTTGTAGCAAAGTGATGGCAATATGAGACGCGGCACATAGAATATGTAGTTACTTTCGGGGAAACCAGGTGCTTCGTCTCGACCACATCAACAATGTCAAACAACTTAATGGTGTCATCAAATGCAATGAGGTTGTCTGCTTGCTTATTATCTGCATCTACCACCTTCTCGATACTTGCTAGAGCTTCATACTCTGCAATTGTCTTCCCAACTGGGGCAATTAGTGGCACAGATAATTCACGAGATGTAGAATCTGATTTGTTTGATGGCTTGTCACTCAGAATATTAGCACCATAGTCTTCATCAAGAACACCACCATCATTGCCAACGACGTTAGACCCGCTATCATTGTCCACATTGAGAAAAGATTTCTCGCTTAATTCCTTAAGTTCATTTGTGTCCTCCGCAGTCGGGGCGAGGAGTGTGTTGGCGTTTTCCACCATGTGGGCAAATGTGTCTCTAGACTTCTCCGATGTCTTCTCAAAACAAATATAATCCAAATCATGTAACGGGGCAAATCGTATTACAATATATAACGTATCAGTATGATTTCTATATTTCATTGTTGAAATGTACTTATCATAATTATGAACAAAAATTTAAAAAAGAAATATTAAAATAAAAAATAAAATAAATATTTTCATATTATTCACAGAAATATGAGTGCAAAAATTATTAATTTAAAATAATAAAATATTACTCGTATACAAGTGCAAAAATCAGATGCTAAATGAAGCACTAACAAATGGCGTGCAGGCCAACGAGTATAACATAAAATAAGATTGGGTCGGCCCAACGTGCTGGATCGCGCCCCTTTTAGCAGACTAATCTTATCAGATAAAACGGCTACGGCCTTTTTGAAGATGGGCGCCTACTGTCACCCACCTATCCGAATGTACAACTCGGCCCATAATCGAGTAAGGTTTTCTCCAAGATCTTTCTCCCCTTGGGCATCCAATCCTAATATTCGATGCATTATTCTTCACTGGGTGGGATACTCCATTTTTTGAGTATCCATTCATAATGAAATAGTATAAGGCCCCGTTTGGTACATGCAATTCAAACTGTGGAATTTGAATTGAGGACTTTAATTCCAATTCTGGTGTTTGGTAGCACAAAAATTATGTGGATTTGGAATTGATAATGCAAAAAATGAATTGAAATTGGCAGAATTCAATTCTATGGAATTGAATCTCATGAAATTTCAATTCTAATTCAATTTCAATTCCGTATACCAAACGAACCCTAAGTAAATGTCATTGTGTATGTCTAGTTTGACTCTTTCGAGTCAATTCGGATGAATTTTGGGTCTCAGTTAAATAAAAATGTAACGTATATTAGAGTCAAAATGTATTTATTGGATTTATATTGGTGGGACTTTTCAAAATTATATTTCATTATACTAATATACATTGACAGTCTGAGACAGAGGTAGTAATGATACATGCCCCTACTCCGTTACATATTCGTAAATTTTAATAATCGTGAATAAATTAGAGAAACTCCGCCATTTGCCATCACCTTGACTATATAATTTCCCATTGATACACATATAGATATAGACAATGATTGTCTGTGTCTCATAAAGACATTCATTCTCTAGTGGAAATTTTGATCCTAAAAAGATGGGTTCTCCAAATTAACAAAGTTCATTTTTTAAAATAATGAGCCTAAGAAAAGTGAGTTGCACAAGGCCTTATCTGCGGAGCCGCTTGCAGCATGCATTGCATCATCTGATATGGACAAAGGGGCATTGCCTATGCATGGCCTTCGGCGGTGGACTTTGTCAGTCCAATGCCCAATCCAAATATATATATATATATATATATATATATATATATATATATATATATATATATATATATATATTGTTGATTTATGAATTCACTCTTAAAGAATACTTGTGTACAAGGATGTTTATATATGTGAGGATCCCTACATGAACTAGGATTCACCAAATATGTAAACTAACATAAATACAAATCTGCTATAACTAGACTTCTTTCCATATATGTCTAACATCCCCCCTCAAGCTGAACGCCATGAAACGAGAGGAAGCTTGGCAACAAGTGCAGTGTAGCGTGGCGAGGCAAGAGCTTTTGTGAGAAGGTCTGCCAGTTGCTCATTTGAAGGAACATAAGAGACCATCATTTTCTCTTCGATTACTTGTTCTCGTACAAAGTGACAATCAGTTCCGACATGTTTCATGCGTTTATGGAAGACCGGATTCTTAGTCAAACAGATGGTGGACTGGTTGTCGCATAGAAGATGTGGAGGAGGGAGCTTGATCTGTAAAATGTCAAACAAATAGGTGAGCCACATTACCTCAGCTGCTGCGGCCGAGAGAGCTCTATACTCGGCTTCGGTGGACGAGCGTGAGACACGACTCTGTTTCTCTGTACTCCAAGAGAGTAAATTCGAGCCAAAATATATCAAGTAACCTGTAACGGACCGTCCATCTGTCATATCGTT